TTGATGGTGTTAAAGGTATTGTCACAGGATGTAAGCTGTTCCAAGTAAAGCTTCCTTTTGCAATTGACTGTTCGTGATTTTATCAATGCCAATGGTCTTCAAGTGGTACTCCAGATGTTTTGGGATTGCACCCAAGGCACCTGTTACCATTGGTACTATCTTTGTTTTCTTTTGCCATAGTCATTCTGTTTGTATTTGCAGGTTTAGTATATCACAATTGTGTTTCTCCCATTAAACTAGTGAAACATACTTTTAAGTACACACATGCTGTATAATATGGCACTGTAAAATGAACTACATAAGTGATACATTGATAGTGATGATAACTATTCTTTACTTTTAAATAAACTACAACATTTATCATAGGTATTTAATATTGATAGTGAAGTCTATTCTTTGTGGTACTGAATATGATAACCCTAATCATGAGTTATTAGTAATTTGTGATTTTACAAAACCCTTATGCAGTTACAACATGATGACCATTTTTATTTCTTTCAGGAACTTGAAGACCAAATAAAAGCAAAAGAAATGGAACTTGAAAAAGTAGAACAGACTGGTCTTTCCTTAATACAAGATAAAAAAGATGAAGTGTGTGTTGCTGTTATGGATACCCTTCAGAAGCTAAATAATTCTTGGGCAAATTTGGACCACATGGTAAGCAAGAAGGAATGCAAGAAAAAAATATCCTCCATAAATTGGGGGATTTCAAACCACTGATTTCAAGAAAGAAGCCACACAGATTCTGAATGACAGGAGTAAAAATCACTTGCAGTAAAGAGCTGTGCCTCCATGTCCCTCTCTTCCCAACCCAGTCCAGATACTGAAGATGATTCAATAGTTAGAAATGCAGAATTACTGATAAATTAATAAAACCCAGATGCTGTGCATTCATATAAAATAATTATACACTAGATACCTGAAATACTTCCACTAACATATTTGTTTCTACTAATCATTGATTATGTGCTATCACATCATTTTCGACTCCTAGTTACCACAAAGATAGATTTTCTCCGTGACAATCTATCCCTATCGTGTTCTTTCATGTCTCTAAATGATGCACTAATCATTTACTATTAACTACATTTTTTCTGCATTCAGATGACATAGAAAACTTCCCTTGAACTAAAATAGAAGTGAAAACTTCTTTACAGTTCAAGAAAAGAAGGAATGAACCTATCAAGAGCCTAGATCTGTGGCTTATGTTTCATATCTGAATTACAATAGAAGAGAATATATGTAACTCAGGGTTGAAATGTGGGCTTGGTTTTTTGCTTGCAGATGTTTCATTACCAACCAGCACACAGATAAGCAGGGGTTAATACCAGACAAATAATCAAGCAGAAAACAATACCCTAATCAGGGAACTACCCCCACCAACACTGGCAGGGCAAGCTACAGTATATAAACAGGCAGCAAACCCCACACTCACTCACACTGATGATGTTACCTAGTTGAGTAATGAAACATCTGCAAGCAAACAACCAAGCTCAGAGAGCACCAAGGACTCCCTATAGCTGAATTAGTCCAAAATACGTATTAAATGTTGATACACTGCATATTCATGAAGCTGATAGATATTTTTAAATGTTAATATTAGTTTATGTTTAGAGGTACATGATATCCCTAAACATAAATGAATAAGACTTGCTTATTTAAGAGTAATTGCTAACCTTGCAAACAATGATGGTTTATATATTTGAATTGTTATTAATAAAGAACAATTATAGAATACATATCATAGTTCTGAATTAAAGATAACCCCAAAATTAAATTTAGCAAAAACAAAGGCAACCCTCCAAAAGGAAGATTATACACAAAAAATTATAAACACATGCAAAAATCTTGTACACCTCCCAGATTTCCTGTTATCACTCAGTTTTCCAACTCAGTTGTATATTTATACATAGGCAACAGGTTCCACAATAAAAAAGGTCATGGCTAGAATAAATTAATGAATTAATTGATACCCCATCTCTTTATATATCTACCAACTATGCACATATACACCTAATCACACAAAAGACATTGCAGAAATTTGGGTCCTACAAGCAGTACCTTATGCATGCTTATTCTATGGTCGATAAGGTATGCTTTATAAGTCTAGTTCTGTTCTGTTGGTATATCAGCCTTATTCTGTCCTCAGTTCTCTCCATCTCTCCTAACTGGATGTTCTGATTTTCCAGAGTCCTCATTCATGAGTCTTTAGGTAGATGAGGCTGTTGATTACAGATGTGTATTCCCTGCACAGAGAGAGTAACAAGAAGAAGTCAAGATTAGCATGTTTATTACCATCTTGCTTGAAGTGATGGTCTTTCCTCTCCTTCTTCCCTGTTGCCATTTCAGCCATTTGCTTTCAATATTTGTATCTTCCTCCCATTTGCTTCTTTTCCTTTATTGCTGTTTTCTAAGCAAATGTAAGAAAATATTGTCCCCTATTCACATCTCCATCTCTCTCTCTCTCTCTCTCTCCCTCCCTCCCTCCCTCTCTCTCTCTCTCGGACAAAACATCGTCCTTTTAGGTGAAAATGTTGGTTTGATTATCCTCAGCAAGTACTATAAGCAGTTGTACATAGCTTCTAAATAAGAATTAGGGCAGGGGGGAGTTTCTTTTAGAAAATCACTGCAATTGTTACTACATTCTTATCTAAATAGTGATGTTTTGTTCAAAAAAAATCTACTATAGACAAAATATACTGTAATAAAATATGACAATTACTTTTTTAAATTCAAAATGATTTCAGTAAATACAATGATGCTTTTAATATTTATTATAGTTCTTGTTTCATTTTGGCCAGGTAGGTCAGCTGAAAACACTGTTACAATCTGTCCTTCATCAGTGGAGCATTTACAAAGCATCTTATGAAGAACTTAATAGCTACATAATGGAAGCAAGATATTCTCTATCTCGCTTTCATCTTCTTACTGGCTCTTTGGAAGCAGTGAAAGTCCAAGTAGATAACCTTCAGGTAAGCCATAAGAGCAAATGCATTTATTATGTTAAGCAAGGTCACAGAATTTTTCCAGAATGTCGAGAAAATAGCCAATTGTCACTTTAAATATAGCTGTGAAATAAACTTAAAATAAGTCCAAGGCAACTCATACCAGTCTTTATTTAATGATGCTTCAGGATTTCATCACTTCTTTGCTACCATCATTTTAGTGCTTGCTATAATAATTACCTGCCAATTGTGATTTTGAAAATGAGATTTTTAAAAATTGCTATCTGTTACAATTTTAATAAATTGCACATTTATTTTCGCTTGAATCTTATTTTTCTTTGTTTAGAATTTGCTGGATGAATTGCAAAAGCAAGACCATCGCTTACAAAAATTTGGGTCAGTGACCAATACGCTATTGAAAGAATGCCATCCACCAGTTACAGAAGCACTTAATAATACCTTGAAAGAAATGAACTTAAGGTATGAAATTGCTGCTTATTTTTTTAAAAAGTAAAATCTACAAGTTGTATCTACCAGCAGACTGGAAATCTAGTGTGATGCAGATTTCCCTTGCCAGATTCTCCAAATATGTAGTGATGAATTGAGAAAGCAGATTTTTTAAAAAAGACTGGAAGCCTTATATGGACTTTTTATTGATTTATATTTTATAAGTCAAATTTATATGCTGCCCATCTCACTATCAGTGACTGTAGATAGTTCACAAATAAAAAATATAAAAACATTTAAAAACTACAAAATGCATTAAAAGACTGCATACAAAGTTTTTGTTGAAAGAAGAAAAGACTAAATTGATGATTTATGGATTTGGGGATTAAAAAGGGTTCAAGAGAAAGGGGGAAAATTAAGATGGCAATTACTCGATGGAAAGAAAGACAGAAGTCATAGTTCTGTTTTCTTTCCTTTTTTCACTTCTTTTTCTTATTTTCTATCTTCTATTTTTCCTTTTTTCCTTTTTATTTATTTATTTATTTTAAATAATTTTTTATACTTTTATTGTATTGAAAAATTATAATAAAAATATTTTTTAAAAAGGGAGAAAGCAAATTTTGGAGTTACAAATCCCATTCCTTGAGCTGAAATCTGTTTTTGTGAATATATACAGGTAGTCCTCGGCTTACGTCCCTTCATTCAGTGACTGTTCAAAGTTAGGGCAGTGTGGGAAAAATGGATATACGACCAGTCCTCTAAGTTTTAGCCATCACAGCACTCCCCGTGGTCACATGATCACAATCTGGGCATTCGGGTGCCTGGCTTGCAATTATGAAATTGTAAGGAGCTACTGTCATGTGATTGCCATTTGCAATCTTCCCTGCCAGCTTCCCACAAGCAAAGTCAATGGGGAAGCCATCAAGAAAGGTTGCAAGTCATTCTGGTAAGTCGCTCCCACTTTTTTTCCCGCCTGCAGCCTACCCCAGCCTCCCATACTCATGCGCAGCTTGTGCTGGCCCTCCCACGGCACCTCCTCGCTCCTTAAGGGACGCCCACCCCTTCCTGCTTAACAATCCACACATCTTGGGGTTGATGGCAACCTGGACTGCCCGGGATTGCTGTCACTAATATGGTCATGTGACATCACTTTTTATGGTACAGCATCACTTAGCAAAGGCAATCCTGGTTCCAATTGCTGTTGTAACCCAAGGACTACCTGTACCTTATAGTGGAAATTTCTCTTTAATTTGGTCTAATTATATTCTTTGAATCACTATAAGATATGCAAGAGAAATTTATTATTTATTTAAATTTGTTACTGTATGAGATTTCTCATAGAAGAATAATTTAAGTCCAGAGATTTGTTTAGTTTTGTTTTGCTCAGTGAAACATAGTTCCATATATAGCTTGAAGTAGTAAAATCTAGAATTGTATAACTATACTCTATTAACTCATTTGCTTATTATTTCCAAATATGTTTTTAATGTTTCTTTAACATCTCCAGCTCTAAATGCCTTTTTATTTGTGTTTCCTTTCTTTATTTTGGAATCCCCCTCAATCAACCACACAGCCAAATCTACCTGCATTTTCGTTTCAGATAACATTGTAATAATAAAGATTCTTATAACATGCCCTTGGTGTGTTTTTGCTCTTCCAGAAACAGTATAATAATAAAAATAGTTAAATTTGTCAGAGCAGGTAGCAGTATCTAACCAACCTTGGCTGATCCCATAAAACACCAAGTAGAATTAGACCTCATTGTTATTGGACAGAAAATTACCAGAAAGAGTAATTCAGCTTCAGCAATTTCTGGTTTGTCTTCCAACTTCTTTAACTCTTTCTTCTGAATTGTCTTAACTGAAGACAACTTATGGTGTCCTGTCTGCAAATGTTTAATTTCTTTATCCTGCTATTTTTTAAATTAAGTATTACTAAAATCTTATATTCCTACAAAGTATAGTGAACTATCTTTGTACATGGTATCTGTTGCATGGATGTTTTATGCTTCTTACTGGAAAGTACAGATAGTCCCCTCTAATTAAGTTGTGGGAGTACACCTCAATATCCAAAATAAATTCATGTTTTAAAAGTAGATCTGACACAGAATTTAATTCAATTTGGAAATCACTTTTAGATTATGATTCCATATAAGGGGTTGTACCACATCCAAAATTTGGATTTCTCTTAACATAAAAACCTAACATTTTAACTTCAGTCATCTGTTAAATAGGGATCTTTCACAATTTAAACAAAAATTACTGTAATTATTTATCTTGATGATTTATAATGTACTGATTATTGCCGTTGATATTTATGTATTATTTTGGATTTTAACACTTTTTAAAGTGCTTAACATATTCAGTTATGTAAAACTAAATGAAATATTGAAAATTCTTATCTAACAAAGTTAGTTTTATTTAACTCTATGATGCTTGTAAATTCCTTGTTTATTTACTTTGTCTTTTATATATATTTTTGCCTCTTTAATTTATCTTGTTTTTATTTTATTTCCCCTTTCTCAAAAATGTTTAATAAAAATATAATTTTTAAAAAGGAAGGTTAGGCTGAGAAGTAAAAAAAGAAAAGAAAAAGAAAGAAAGAACAAATGTCCAAGATGTGTCCATATAGTCAGTCATCAGGAGTCAAGAATCCCTCAAGGAGCCTTTATTTTGTTGTACATTGTAACTATTATTGTATTAAATAATCAGTTTGTCTTCTTGATGCTTATGTTGTTAGAATCAGCTATATTCAAAGGTTTTTCCTCATCTCCTAACCATTTTTTTGGAGGATGGTGATATCTGTCTTTTCCACTGAAATCTGTTTCTTTTATTTGCCAGATGGAATAATCTTCTAGAAGAAATTGCAGAGCATTTGCATTCCAGTAAAGGTCTACTTCAGCTCTGGCAGAAGTATAAAAACTATTACATGCAGTGCTCTTCCACTGTCCAGCAGTATGAGGATCGAACAAATGAACTTTTGAAGGCTGAACTCAACAAGGACACTGCTGATGATGAAGTCACTGCTTGGATTCATGACTGCAATGTAAGTTTAATAAACTTGCGATGTAAACTGTTGTTCTGTATAATACAGACATAGTAAGAAGCCAGCAAACAAATAAGTATAGTAAACTAGTACAGATTATTAAAAACTAGGAAGAGCCTGATCTAAGTGATAGTGGAAAGAAAATTTCCATCTCCTCCTCTATTACCTGTCTCCCAAATCCTCAGCCTGCCACACCATTACAACTTGCAAAGCAAGTATATCTGCTTTTCCATACCTTTGCTAAGTATCACATTATTAAATTTTTCTCCAGGCCATAAGAAATAAAGGAGATGCATGTGAGTTGAACAGAAAATACCGTGAACCCACTTAATTTGGGGGGTGATAAGCATGCCATTCCATCTCCAGAATCTTGGAATCTGTGGCATTGTTCTGCTACTTGGTACTATCTAAGTCATCCAGTGACCAGCTGAACAATTTTGCCTCTTCAGGAACATTATTCATAAGTGTATTTTATTAGATTTTCATCCTTTGGTTTGGTTTGGTTTGGTTTGGTTTGGTTTGGTTTGGTTTGGTTTGGTTTGGTTTGAGAGAAAGAGATTAAAGCAGCATATCTTGAAGGGGGAGTTAATCTCTCCTCATGTGATTATCAGAACACTAGTTCTGTTAGATAGATTGGGTGGAAATAGAGACTGTCCTAAATTCATTCAGGGAGCTCTACAGTTGAGTATGTATGTGAATCTGGGTCTCTCCAGTGGAAACTCGAGTCTCTAGCACTAACTACTACATTGCACACTATATCTTACCTTTATACTCTAGAATATAACACTGTTGCAATTGTTTGTATCACATCACAAAAGTGAATTAAATCCTATCAGCTTTTTGTAAGAACTGGGCATAGTCATGCCGAATGACATACATAAGTATACATGCATTGTGCCAAGTGCACATGTTCAAGCATGCGCAGAGTGACTGGTATATATTCAGGCCCCCATATCGTTCAGTAGAATGGACTTCAGCATTGCAGTTGTCTTCTTCAGTTTTTCATTTGCTGTGATTTCTACAGGATCTACTTAAAGGCATGAAGACAATGCAAGATTCTCTATCTGTTCTGCATGAACTAGGGGAACAGCTGAGGCAGCAGGTGGATTCTTCTGCAGCGGCAGCTATCCAGTCTGGTCAGCTCTTATTAAATCAGAACTTAGCTTCTTTAGAACAGGGACTCAACAGGCAACAGTCGATATTACAGGTAGGAAAACTTTCCTTGACATGTCAGGGAAAGTAGTTTCTTCTTCTACCTTCAACTATTCACCTGGCTATAATGTATGTGCTGTCAGAGTATCATGCTTAGGACATCATAACACAAACAATCACTATGGGAAAAAAATCAGCTCCCCTAAAAAGAAAGTTTTTATTCAGACACTTACAGTACTTGAGAACTACTGTACTATACAGATTGATAGTTTGAAAGATTTCTTCAGATAGTATTTCTTTATGTTCCTATTTGAACACAAAATTGTTAGATTTTAAATCTTAGCATGTCTTTTTTTTTTTTTAAACTGAAATAACCAACCTATGAATGAATGTCTACATGGCAACAGAGCTTTAGGGTATAACTTGAATTATGACCTCAAAAAGCATATCGTGCAGCATTGCTTATAATTATGCTGGCTTCATATCATTCAAACACCACTTCTTCTACTTTAGAAATATCATGTTCCCCTTTCGTATTGCTATCCAATCATCCTAGTGTGAGAAAAGTTACCTATATTAATGAGACTTCCCTCTTTTAAAAATCTAAGGCAGGAGTTCAAGATTACCAGACCTTTAATAAGAGTCTGGGAGGGTTGGAGGAGTGGACAGCGCAAGCTGAAGAAGTGCTGAAAATGCAAGACCCAAGCCATTCATCTGACTCATCCGTCATTCGGAATAGAATGGAAGAGCTTAAAGTGAGTTTAAAAAAATGCTCGTTTACTTTCAAAATTTATTGTATTTATTGTTATTGTTTACTTATTTATTTATAAATTTACAGTCAAAGACCAACTTGAAAAGAAAAAGGGAACTGTGTATTTGTGAATAATCAAGTGAATTAAAAGAATGAATGAGATCAGGTAAAATAGGTTCATATCAAATAGGATAGAGTAAAGTATTCTTACGTATGTATATGATTAATAATACCGAGACAGTAAATAGCATTGGATAGTATCTTTTTAGTCCCCCAAACAACCAGGCACTCCAGGCCTAAACAGGTTTAAAGCTATGATAGCAATTGCAAGAGAACAAAATTCAGCAACTTTCTTAGAAAGTGTGGTGGAGGTGTCTGCTAATAAGAAGCATGCGGTCTTGGACTCAAGCCAGCCTGTGCACTGGGCAGGAAGAGGGTTCAGCAAATCCTGAATGCCAATCCTGATAAAATAGACAGTGCAGCAGAATGTGAGCTACTGACTCAGTGGCTACTTCAGAGCATATGCAATGGCAATCTAAGTAGGGAATATTATTAAACTGCCACCCTGCAAGCTTTGATGGTAATTCATTAAATCTTGCTAGTATGAATGCCTTTCTCTATAAGGGGGAAAGTATCTTTAAAATAGTTGGGAATAGCAAAAGGGCTGAGGTAAAAATTATCTAAAACATAATTTAGGACTTCGGATCTGTCAGTTTGTAAATCAAGATCTAAAATGCATTGTTTTATCTCAGAAATAGCTTGCTCCAGACCCATCACTGTTAGTGCTTGGGTTGAGAGGCCATAAAAGAGATCTCATTTGCTATGGTTTTCTTCCAAGGAGAGCTGAATTTTTTTAACAAGAACAAGTTGGACTAAAGAACTGTTCCCCAAGTTTAATTTCAGTCAGTATCACAGGTAGGGAATTTGAATATGAGTTCTGGGAGGAGTTCAAGTCTCCATGAAGCATTAGGGATGAATTGGAGTCATGGAGAACAATTCTGATAAATCTGGGATGTCATATCTTTATGAGGACAGAATTGCAGAGTAAAAAATACAGATTAGCTTAGCACTAAACAGTTTAATTGCCACAGGGAGGGAATTGTTGCCTTTAGGCTAACAATTATTATTGCTTTTGAGGCCTTTTGTACATGAGATGAGGCTTTGCCAATTGGTTGCCTCAGAGTAGAGAGTGAGTAAGAGGTGACACCTAGATATTTAAAGTGCTTCTTTCACTGTAGTTGTTCCACTAATTTGCCATTTAAAATGGCAGTTGCGACATCTTTTAGAGAATAGGATGTCAGGCCTAACCCGAGGAACTCCAGGAAAGTATGCAAATTCTGTTCAGCAACGTTTATTAGCTACAACCTCTATCAAGAATCTTCCCAGACT